TGGCAGGAGAGGCATGCAGCCCTGGAATTACCTCCTGGGGAGTTAACCTGCCCAGCAAACAACAGGAGCGAGCCAGATGGGAATGCCATACCCCAGCAAAACAGAGCCTGCGATATTTTCCCCTCTCTATGTGCACCATAGCTGCACAGAGGCACTACAGAGCTCTTTCCCACTGGTTTCAGAGATGAGCTGCATTCCCACGTTAACGGCTCCGAAAAACACTGTACCTGCCTAAAAGGATATCTCTTCATCTGCAAAATCATGCCATTATGTAAAGCTAGCCTCTAACAGCTCCCGAGAAAACCATACGTCGTTATTAGATCAGATTCAGATTTGATTTTGTTGAGCTGATTCTCATTTATTCAGGGAGCTTTACATCAAGTCGAATGCCAAACTACGCACATCTGCTAGCTTGGTGTTCATCCTGCGGATGATCCTGCAGGGCACACAGAGCCTGAACCCACACTGTGAGGCCAAACACCGACCCACTGTTCTTTACAAGTGTTTAGTCTGCTGGCATCCAGTGGAAAGGAGCATGGATGAGGCATAACTGGTGGAAATTCAGTCTGGATCTGTCATAGAATATGTCCATGTGCGGAGAGAAATCAGAACACAGGGTGGCTATTTTGCCCCTCCGAGCAAAAGCAAGCATTTGTCATATTAGTCAGCTTAGCAATTCATTCTTTGGTCAGGAAAGCAGCCACTTTTCAGATGATGAAGAAGTAGTAATCACTATGGCTCTGATAGCTGGCTTTCTCTCTATATCTGTAGGTAGTCAAAGCTTCTTTCAAATATTAGCTTCACCCCAGTCTCCCCTGCCTTTATCACTCCATGTCATGGCTACTACAATCAAACCTACCTCTAGCTAAACACTACCTCAAACTACATGCCTCGAGCTGGATGATACCTCAAGCTAAATATTTGGGAGTCTGCCAAGAGGCATTGTGAGCCATGGAGATTTCAAATAGAGTTGCAGCAAAGTTTCTCAAATGCTCCACGCTCCCTGTCAGCAGTGGAAAGTAGCGTGAAGGCAGATCTGCAGCACCGAGACTCCAAAAGTTGTACCCCATGTTCTGGTGGGGGACAGGGAAAAGGTTCAGAAATACAGCATACAGATCAAAGGATTAATCTGGCCATGTTTTATATCCCACAACCGACTGAAGGACAAGGGTTCCACTTCTAGCTTATTTATATTGCTAATCTAATAAATAACTAAATTTGGACTTTGTTTAGGGTAGCTACAATGACTTTTTGGAAGTTACTTGTTTAATAAACCGTCTCATCTATATACTCCCTCTCTTCTTGCTTTGAAGTAAATCATGAGTAGAAGACATTTTCCTCAAATGGTACTCATCACATGAAAGCTGTGTCAGACTGTGGACAAATGGCCTGATGCCCATCCAAGGCTGACCAGGCAGAACGAAACACAGAGCAGACCTCAAAAAGCCCTTAAAGGAACCCCTAGAAATATTTGATCATAGGTATGGATGTGCTGGAAGTACCATAGATATTAAATCCTACTCTCAACCAGACTGGCACACAATCATTTGCCAAAACAGAGCGGCACATGAATTGAAGTGCTCTTGTAAACATACAAAGCTTGTAAAAGTGATCCCTACTACTCCAGCCGTGACTCCTTCCCTTATTTCTGCAGGTATTTTCCACCTCACTTGCTAACTGCGAACAGCAGTGAAAGTCCATTAAGGAACTTTTCAGCAAACTAAACTTATAAAAGTTTTACATAGTATCTTTATATATAAAAATGGGTCTCTTATCTGACTGCAACTTATAAAACCATAGAAGTGCCTCTTGTCACCTTTAAAGATACAAAGGTATGCTCATTATAAACATGTCCTTTATAAAATTCAGTTCCTCATATCTTATTTAGGCATAATTAAATTAAGAAAATACTATGAAATGGTTTAGAAATGATGGTATGATAAATTATGCCTTTTACTTTTAAAAGAGAACTCTTTTAAACAAAAGAAAATGTAATCTTTTACTCTATCATCAATCAAATGAGTAACGTCACATTTGTTTGTAAGACACAGGCATATAAAATTGACACCTGTTGCAGTTTTAATTCAGAAAGCTTAGACATTAATCCTTTTGAAATGGTTTCTACCTCATCTTGTTAGACAGCAACATTTATGAGCTCATGAAATTCTAATGGAGCAGCTTATTTTCTGTCTGGGTAAACAGACAGCTTTAGTAGGCTTGTTTATTGAAGTCTCAGAGGGACATTTAATCAACTTCATACATACAAAGAATGCTTACTGAAGCCTTTTAAGCAGGTAAGGACCTGATTTGTATTAGACAGGAAAAGATGCAAGCCATTTCTGTCCCTGATGTTTCCATTCGTTGTTCTGAATGAGAATTTACACAGTCTCCTCTACTAAGGAGTCCCACGGCTATAGCAAAAAGTCTTCATACTTTAGCTTTCCAGTGAGCTTTACCTGATTCTGTTGCACGCACAGAGGAAGCTATTTGTCAGCTTCTGCACATTGCGACTTTTAGGCACTGATTTAGGTACAAGTGACAAATGCTAGGATCAGCAGCGTAATTGCTTGGAGTCAGCCTCAGACACTGAGTCATATCACAGTGTTTCACTGACTTGTTGTTGTTATTCTTTTGCTTTTGCTTTCATCATCAAAGGTAGAGGAAAAAGTAGAAAATGTAGTATCTGCATTGAAATGTAATCACAATAAAATGATTTTTACGTCCCATAGCTCCTACCTTCATATTTATCTTTCTTCTGATACTGGCTCAAAAATTCATTATCCTCTAACTTTCATAACATCTGTTTCTCTAGAAAGTAAATACTTCTGCCATAGAAAATCCATTATAATTAAGTAAAATGCCAGGAGTTTTAAACATTTAAGAAGAACAGAGTTATCTAGTGCATTCACATCTGCACTGAAATGCTTTGTTCATTTTTCTAAACCTCTGACATGTTTCAAAAGTCAACGTGGGTCTGAAATAGCAAAGGTGAGAACATAACAAGATCAGATTAGATCATCTGTGAGAAGCATAAGGCTTTCCACCTACCCAGCTGCAAAACCACTCACTCACAGTACTGCAGTTTCCTACTAATAAAACATCTTCCAGTATCCTCTGAAAAGAATATTATACTCATTGTTCAGGCGGGGAATTGAGGTGCAGAATTTTTAAGGCTGACACACATAAAAGTAGTCCTACATCTCTTACCTGCTTTTTAAAATCCTGTCTGAAGCTGTTTATCCGTGAGTACATAAGAAGAGTGCAAAAGAGCAGGGAGTGCAGGGTGGGTCCTCCTTAATCTGTGCCTTAATCGGGAGGTTACTGTCTCTCAAGAAAGTAATACACTAATACTTGGTCCTAGCACTGTAAGACATGGCACTCCTAGCAAGCTGACATCTGTTTCATCAGAAAGATAAAGATATGAGAAAACAGAGAAAAGTAAGAGAGAAAAAGTGAATATAATCAAACTGACCAAAGAGAATGGCAGATTTTGGCAGCATCATTAATGGCTGGGTCTAACAGCATTAGTAAAGTCATTTGTAATTGTACTTGCAGCAGGAAAATTGTGCATTTGTTTCAACTGTTCTAATTTTGTTTTTAAAGGTAGAAGTGATCTGAGTGTCGACTGGAGATTGCTGGCTGAAGCGCAGGCTGAACAAATACTGAATCTGGCTGCTGATGTATTAGCTTTTGCAAGATGGCTGTCAGCTTCCTATCACTGCTGTATCTGTAAATACACAGTATCAAGTAGTAGTAGGATCCACTCACAGCAGCAGTAAAATAGCAGTCTTCAGGCTTAACTGCTTCTTTTTTACACGAATCAAATCCCCCATGCAAAATAGACAAGTACATGTATCACACATTCCTGTAACTGAGGAGAAATATGATGGGATAAAATGTGGACAAAAGTCATAGGTTTGAGCTTACGCACTAGTTGTAGACTCACTCTTGTCTGAAGCTGGTACCCAATCACAGGATCACAGTTCATTTCCAAAGCTTTTCAGAGTAAGTAAAACATACTCCTGCCAGATACATAACTAGTAAGGTACTATCATCCAAAAGAGATTTTGCACAATTGTCACCTAAAAGAAAGACTGAAACAGAGGGACCAATGCTAATTAATGTGCTGTAGGTGTGGGACACCTTCTGCTGTACATTGAATTCAGACGCAGTATTCGTGTCTGCCAAATAAATAACAGGCACAATCTTGTTCATCTCACTCACGAGAATAACTGAAACCAAAGACACGGTCTTTGAGTAAAGAAATGAGGAACAAGCAGTCTGGAAAAGGGCTCAGAACCATGGCTTTACCCAGGGCACACAAAGCTCATATAGAAGAATGATGCATGGAGAAGTGACTTACAGCAGCTTTGGACTTCTCCAGTCCTTGGCTGGCTTGGCCAATACCTGGACATAACTAGAACAACCAGAGCACTGCTCCACCTCGGTATGACAATTTCCAGCAGTCTCCAGAGGCCGACATGACAGCTAAGAATGGCTGCCTGTAAGGGGACACAGAAGTAAACATACCAGCAGGATGTAATTCAAGAATTCCCCTGCTCAGAGTTAAGCTTCCCAGGTTCCACCGTGCTTAGGACTATTTCACATGAGTGATTTCATACACGAGGCTTTACCAGAGCACAGAACGTGCCCACAATGAGCACATTGTTAAATGAGCAAGAGTATTTACTCAGTCTTTATGGCCAATCTAAATATAAAATATCTTCCACTATATTTAATAGCTTGTGGAAGAAAACAATACAGCAGAAAGGAATCTGATAATACAAAATATGGAAGGGGCAGCATTATTTTTGAGATATTGCACATTGCATTCCAGGCAGTGCAAGAAAGGCATGTCACATTGCTTTTGATTGAGGGATGCCATGGTGGCATGCCACAGCCAAAAAGCCAAATTGTCATATGTCTTCCAGTCCACTGAGATGCATGCCACGCTGTGGAAAACATCGTAGGCATGAATGGAAACCCCCATTAACAGCCAGATCTTTATTGGAAGATCTGCCAAAGGAGAAAGAGAAGCATATTGGGTCAGTTTTGTTGTTTTTATAAAGCACGAGTTGTTTAGCTACGTTTACTTACTTCAACGAAGAGCAGAATCCAGCACGTCTAGATAAACATTAGGTATACTTTTAATGGACGTTTCTGTTTCAGGAGGCATACAATTCAGCAGTATGCAGTATGTCTTCAGTTCCGGCTGTAGCAGCTCAACTGCAAAATCTCATCATTCTCCTGCTACAGTTCAGAACCTACATCGCCCTTTGCAAAGCTTATATTTAGTCCATGAAAGACAATAAACATGACAACAGTAAAACAGAGTTCAGATTTAGCAAAAGAAACTGAAAGATAAACAAGGTTTCTTTGTGGCAGTCTATTAAAATGAACATGGACTTAAAAGTATCAGTAGC